TTGGGAAAGCAAGAGGAATTGAGAAAGAAAAAGATTGTCATGAAAGACCAGAGACTGGCTATTTTAGATTCTTTAGTGTGATGGGAGAATGAAGTACATACGCTTATTCAGAGTCCAATAACAAACTCTCTCAAACTCATACATATAAAGTTGTATTATGTGGACTACAAGTATTGCATGTACATTTTTGAGAAAAGTGTATAAGGGTCCTATGGGGATGGGATACTGAAAGTGTTTTTCACCCTGGCTAGTAGGTATCAAGTAAAGAAACACTGTGCATGGGTGATAAAATAACCATTTCTCCTACCTATCCTAAATACATGAGTATTCACACTGAGTAGTGTGAATGAGCCATGATTTCTCATTTATAGCCTGCGAACATGCCACTAGCACAAACTCCTTTTTGTAACCTAAAGAATAAATTGTAGTTGTTGGACTTTAATTAAGAAAAGGAATCAAATCCTCTACATGCTGCTGGATTCCTGGAATAGTCAGTGATGTACCAGTAGGACACTGTTTGGCCAACAAGCTCCCAAACTCTCCCTTACTTAGGTATGTTATGAGGGGTCTGACTGAGGGGTTTTTGCCTTAAGTGTGCAATGACCAGGGTCCCGCACCCTGAATCCAAGTCATCTACAGAGGAACTGCTAAGTGGGTCACCATAGGCATGAAAGAGCAAGTTTCAGTGTTGGAAGATTAGAATGGTTTTTCCATGGTAATGTTTTCCCCTCTTTTCTTTTCAGGGGATCTTATCTAATCTTTTCTTTGTGGAGCATGACTTCCCCGAACAGGAGATCCAGGAAGGGAAAAGCCATCAGAATCCACATGAGGCCCAGTTTGTGGTGGAGCTGTGCAAATACTTCTTGTGCCAGGACTACTTGCCCTCCCAGATCACCATCCTCACCACCTACACTGGGCAGCTCTTCTGTTTGCGCAAACTCATGCCTGCCAAGATCTTCACAGGTGTGAAGGTTCATGTGGTGGATAAGTATCAGGGTGAGGAGAATGACATTATCTTGCTATCACTTGTGCGGAGTAATAAGGAAGAGAGAGCTGGGTTCCTGCAGATTTCTAACCGGATCTGCGTAGCATTATCCAGAGCTAAGAAAGGGCTTTACTGTATTGGGAATATGGGAATGCTTGGCAAGGTGCCTCTCTGGAGCAAGATCATTCACACCCTGCGGGAGAAGGGTCATATTGGTCGCTCACTGATGCTCTGCTGTCAGAACCATCCTGACACTAGGACTCTGGTATCCAAGGGAGCAGATTTCTGCAGAGTTCCTGAAGGGGGCTGTAGTCGCCCCTGTGAATTCAGGCTGAATTGTGGACACGTCTGCACTCGAGCATGTCACCCCTATGACTTAGAGCACAAGGAGTTTCAGTGTATGAAGCCCTGTCAAAAGGTGCTCTGCAAAGATGGCCATCGTTGCCCCCAACTGTGCTTTGAGCACTGTGGACCATGCATGGTGAAAGTGCTGAAAACCATCCCAAAGTGTGGCCACCAGCAGATGGTCCCTTGCTCCATTCCCGAGAGCGAGTTTTGCTGTCAAGAGCCTTGTCAGAAATATCTGAAATGTGGGCACAGATGTAGCATGTCCTGTGGGCAGGAATGCAGTGTTCAGTGTCTTGAGATGGTTATGGTCACACTGAAATGTGGCCACAACCAGCAGGTGAAGTGCTGGATCACAGTGGAGATGAAACATGGGATGCCTGTGAAATGCAAAACCAAATGCCCTATCCCACTGGATTGTGGCCATGCATGCCCAGGTTCCTGCCATACCTGCTTTGAAGGGCGATTTCATGAGCACTGCAAGAGCCCTTGTAAGCGCTTCCTGATCTGCTCCCACAAATGTCAGCAGCCTTGCACCAGGGAATGCCCTCCATGCCAGCAAGCCTGTCAGAACCACTGCATCCACAGTCGGTGCAAAAAGAAATGCGGAGAGATGTGTATCCCATGCATGGAGCCATGTGAGTGGCGGTGTCAGCACTACCAGTGTACCAAGCTTTGCTCTGAACCATGCAACAGGCCCCGTTGCGATGTACCATGCACTAAGCTACTGCGCTGTGGTCATACTTGCATTGGGTTGTGTGGGGAACCTTGCCCAAAAAAATGCCGTGTGTGTCACCAGGATGAAATTACCCAGATCTTTTTTGGCTTTGAGGATGAGCCAGATGCTCGCTTTGTGGAACTGGAGGATTGTGGCCACATCTTTGAGGCCCAAGGCCTCGACCATTACATGGATGAAGATGAAATTGTCATCAAGCTGAAGGTCTGCCCCAGCTGCCAGACAGCCATCAGGAAGAACTTGAGGTATGGCACCATTGTGAAAAGGCGGCTGGAGGAGATAGAGAGCGTGAAAGAGAGAATCCAAGGTCCAGTAAGTGAAATTGAAACTAGCAGGCATAGACTGCAGGGTGTGCTGGAAGGGAAGGCTGTTCTGCGAAGAAATCTGTCCATTAAATATCTCATGCTGGAAGAGAAGCTGACACATCCTGATCTCTCCACAAAGAGTATTGGACTTCTTGAGAACCTGATTGGCTTCTATGGGCGCCTGGGTGAGCTGATGAGCTCCCTGAACAAGCTTGATGTGAGCGAGAAGGAAGGACTGAGGAGGCGACTGGCTGAAATTCAGGAGTGGTTGGACAAGCCCCGGCTAAGCTTCACTGGTCAGGAGCTCTCCGACCTCCAGAGTGAGATTCAGAGGCTTACATACCTGGTGAGTCTCCTGGCCAGATGCAAAACAGCAACTGCAAAGATGAATACTTCTATCTCGAGAGAAATTGCCACTCTGCGGCAGATCCTAGAGGGAACGAAGAAGTTCACCCAAGAGGATGAAAAGGTGGTGAAGATGAAAATGGAAGAACTAAAGACAGCTCTGCCAGAGTCTGGGTTGGGAATCACTGAGGAGGAGCGAGTGCAGATTGTTAGTGCCTTTGGCTATCCACAAGGTCACTGGTTCAAGTGCCCAAATGGCCACATTTATGTGATTGGTGACTGTGGTGGGGCAATGGAGAGGAGCAAGTGCCCAGAGTGTAAGGCAGTTATTGGGGGTGCAGACCATTCTCTAGAGCACAGCAACCGTCTGGCCCCTGAAATGGATGGGGCAACTCATGCGGCTTGGTCAGAAACTGCAAATAACATGCTGAACTTTGAGGACCTTCGCAGGCTGATATAGAAGAGCCCCATCTTCCTCAGTAGAAGACCTTTTTAACCCCATGAATGCCCTTTCTTCCCTACTGCCAAGCTGCATAGCGTGTGGAATAGCTAGCTGGTGCTCACTGGCTCTGCTTGGCAAATTGGGTTTCTTGTGATTAACACTTGCTAGTGTTTGTTGCTAGAACTAGTCCCATTTCCTATTGGCACTTTATCTGTGGAATCAAGCAACTCAATGAAATAGAAACAGAAAAAAATTCGCCTGGTTTAGCCTGAAGCCTGCATGGGGCCTCCTGCAATTCCAAGGCTGGCGGGCACCAGTCTGTGGTGGCATCAGCCCCTGCAGTAGCTCTGGCTATTGCTCATTGCACTGATTGTTTAACCTGAAATCTTTTATAGCCCAATAAATTTTATTCATAGTCATTTAAATGATATATTTATTTTATTGGGTTCTTCCCCAGGCTACTGTCTGTCCCCCACCCTAAGGGCTGGGCTCTGTCTCTTCTCCCCTCCCCCCAGCACTGCTGCCTCCCATTATCTTCCCCGTGCTGGCCCTGTGTGTCTCGCCCAGCCCAGTGCTGCACTGCCAGCTGCGCCAGCAAGCAGCTCTCTAGAGGCAGCTGCTGGGAGGAGGAGGGAGATGTCTCCACAATGGCCCCTGGCTTGTTCCTGCCGTGTTGGGGTTGGACATATCCTTGGCTCTCTGGGGGCTGGGGCATGCTAAGAAAACAGCCAGTGTGTCCCTCTCTCAGGCCCGGGTGCGGGGGAGGGGCAAGACCAGGTCTGCAGACCTCCTCACTGCTACGTAGCTGTCCCAGTGCCTCCTTGTAGGGATCAGCAAGTCTTCCCTAATGGGTCCAGTGCTGGTCCTGTCCAGAGGGGTTTCACTGTAAGGTATCAGAGGGGTAGCCGTGTTAGTCTGGATCTCTAAAAAAGCAACAGAGAGTCCTGTGGCACCTTTAAGACTAACAGATGTATTGGAGCATAAGCTTTCGTGGGCATGTGTCTGATGAAATGGGTATTCACCCACGAAAGCTTATGCTCTAATACATCTGTTAGTCTTAAAGGTGCCACCGGACTCCCTGTTGCTTTTCCCTGTAAGGTGTCGTCTCCCCCCGGGCTCAGGCTTGACCCAGCGCACCACCCTGGAAGGGCGACCCCTGTGACCTCACACTTCACTATGGGGGGTTTGGAAAGGGAGTAGAGTCGGTACTCCCACTTCCCTCATTGGCCTGTAGGGTCCTGTCAATGGGCTGACCTGGAGCGTTGGCCTCTTCCCCTTGGCCCTGGGGACGGTTAGTCTCCCAGATCCTTTCTTTAGTCAGAGGGATTGTGCACTCGGGAGCCAATCATGCTCTCGGGTGGGAAATTCTTAAAAAAAAAAAAAAAGGCAGCCCCTCCCCTGGAAGCCCAAAACAAGCCACATCAATAACCCCCTTAAAGCACGAAGCCCCAAACCAGAAGCAAGAAGCAACTCGAAGACATTACACGCCACGTTGGTGTCTTTTAAGCTGCTTGGCAAGCGCGGAACCGGTCTCGGCACTTCTCGTGTGGGTTCCGGGTGAGAGCGGAAGTCGCTCTGGTGCCACACTGAGTGGGGTCCGTGCGAGGCCGGAAGTAGCTGGAGAGTCACTGAATAGGGTCCGGGCTCGAGCGCCTTTAGCCACCGCCCACTTCAGTTCTCGGCCGATTTTTGCCAACGTTTGCGCCCTCGGGTTCCGTCCCCCTGCCGCCCTTTTAACGCGTTGCTGTCACACGGCGCCGCGCGCCTCTTAGAGCAGCCGGCGAGCGACGGCGGTGTCTTCCTGCGCGGCTCGGGAGCATGCGCAGATCGCTCGAGCGAGCGCAGCCGCAGCCGCAGCAGGGACTGTAGCGGAGCGGATGGAGCGGGAGCCGGGGGCTGCGGGGCCGGCGCGGGCGTTGGAGCCGCTGCGGCACCTCCGCGAAGTGCTGCGGCCGGCGCTGTCCCGGATCCGAGGTGCGGCGGCGCGGCGGGGTTCAGGGGTCGCGGGAGGGGAGCCTCTGGGCCGGGCTTGGGAGCTCCGGGGGACGCGGGGCGGGAGGCGCGGGCCCCGGCCCCGGCCCCGGCCCCTGTCTGAGGTGCTGCGCTGGTGTCTTTGCAGAAGGGGAGTCGCGGGAGAGCAGCGAGACCTTCGAGCAGCAGCGCTTCTGGGACACGCTAGGTAAATGTTCAGTCCGTCAGTCATGGATAAAAGAACCACTAGACAAGTTATATCTGAACATCTTTTGCCAAAATGCCTCATGAAGCTTTTAAATGAACAACACAATCAAGGGGCGAGAGGAAAAGTCCTGTCATGGATTGAACAATGGCTAAGAGACCGAGAAGAGTAGCAAAGGGTGCCCCAAGGCTCTATGCTAGGAATGGTAGTTGAGATCGATATGATGATCTGAAAAAGGGAATGAGCAGTGTGGTGGCAAACTTTGTAGATTAGGCAAGATCAGAGAAGACTCTGAGGGACTTCAGTGGGATCTAACCAAGCTAAATGAATGGGTAACACTGCGTGATTGGTAGTACGATAACAAGAAAAAGTCAGTGTTGACAAGGACAATGTTATGCATGTTGTAAGGAATAATAAATCAGGTTTCAAGTGAACTGTGGTTAGGAAAAAGATGTAGGCCTTGTTTTGGACAGCTCAGTAAAAAGCTCTGTACCGTCTGTATCAGTGGTCAAAAAAGATAAACAAAAAGTTAGGATCCACACAGGATGACATAGAAAATGAGACTGAACATATTATAAATTAGTGGTGCACCCTGAGCAGTACTGTGTCAGTGCTAGTCACCCCATCTCTAAAGAGGTATAGCAGCAAAGCAATAGTGGGGATTCAAAGATAGGTGGCAAGAATGTCCTGGAGAGATTGCTATATGAAATTAATTAAAGTAATAGGACTGTTTAGTTTTGGAGATAAATAAGAGGGGACGTGATAAACGTATTCCAAACAACGAATGGGTGAATTAGGGTGCTCCTACCCACACTTTCTGAATAAAGGATGCTCAGTAATGAAAGGCAATACATTTAAAACTGGAGAGAGAGACTTTTTTGTACAGTGCATAACTCTGCCTGTGGAATTCACTCAGGAAAAGCACCTAGTAGGATTTAAAAGAAAATTCAACATTGTTTGAACTATGATTTATGAACATTGATAATACAGGGCACCACCAGACATTAACTAACCATCAATTATTTTATTAAGTCCAAAGGCCAAATGGTATATACACAATTGCTTTAAATATACTTAAAAAGCCTAAATAATAAGTAGTTTGTGACATCCAATACAGCAACACACATCCATAATCTTAGGATCAATTATACTCAGAGATGGATCAGATCAGAGAATATTCCTCTCACCCTAGTTTTCCTCAGCATGATTGGATCAGATTTGATAAAGAACCTTCAGATTCATGGCTCTCCTTATACCCTTCAGCTAACTTGCTAGTTTTAGCAAACACCCAGGCTGAAGCAGTTTATCACTGCTGCATTCCTTCCTTGTTTACTTCCCCTCCTTGCTTACCAACAGAACAGTGGGAAGGTTCTCTATTGTTTCTTTTAAGACATTTTTTTCTTTGTCACATTACTGTAGTTTTTTATTGTTTTAGTTACTTTTTGAACAATATATTTTTCCCATTCTACATTCTGGTCTCATAACTTAGTATTTTCAGTCTTCATTTATTTCCTGAGTAAGTCATTTTCTTACTTACTAGCAAATATATTATTTTCTTAACCAAAGTTAAGCTAACTTTAATTCTTTAATTTCATAAGTATCCTTACAAACATTATAGAGTTTCTTACCCCTTCCTATCAAGCAGCTGGTCCCACTGGAGACAGGAGTCTGGGCTAGATGGACCTTCATCTGATCAGTTCAACAGTTTGTGTTCCTCTGAATTGCCGCCATCTCTCCTTAAGCTGAGTTTCCTAACTGGGAACTGATGTAGGCTTTATCTAACAGATGGGCAGATGGAGGAAAAGGGGCTGTATGACTGATGCCTGGTATCTCCCCCTTTGCCAGAGACAGTGTCTAATGTCCTGACTCCATTGAATTGTTCCTTAGGTCAGACGTTCAAAGCGACATCCCAGGAAGCTACGAAGTTGAGTCTGGCATTCTCAAGGCCTCCGCTGCCTTCTGCAGAGGTGGGTGCATGCCCCACGTCAAGGAAAATCTCAAGGTTTCTCCCACATCGCAGTCCCTTCTTGTGTCTTGCTCCCTTGAACTAGGACAAAGTTAGTTTGGGTTAAAAAATAAAACAAATGGTTCTTCTCATTGATGTTTGTGGGATGTAATTGCACCCTTTCACTCTTCTTTAGAATGGCACAACTTCCCAGTCTTGTTGCATAGAGAATTGTCAGAGCTGAGGGAGCAGCTCATTGGCTGTGGAAGGTTTCAACCCAGGTGTTTATGGGAAAAGAGCCACATAGTTCAAGACAATAGTACGAACTTTCCTCCTCCCACACCCAACTTGACCATAGCAATTTACCAATATGTGAATGCCTTGGGGTGGGGAGAAGGCTATCTGATGCCTAGAGTATGATGTGGCATTAGACAGCTGAGCACCAGACTGGGCCTTACTCTGTTGTTACATTTCAAAATAATTTTAAGTGTATTGGACTCTGGTCCTTCACCTTCTTCCCCCATTACCCCCAGCTGGCTTTTTGCCTCTCCTCCAATTGGCAGAGTCTCCAGCTGAGAACAACAGTGTGTAAGAAAGTGATCTGCCTTCAGATGGAGCTGGTGGATTTTAATGGGATTGCACTGTCACCCCTTTCATTCCTGATCCTTTTTGTCCACTGTTTTCAGGACTGTCAGAAACTGAGCGAAGGCGTCCAGAATGCTGTCCTGGCAGCTGCCACAGTATATTACTGGCTTCCCAAGAGCCAAGGTGAGGCAGTGAGACCAGGTTTGTGCCGCCACTTCCCCTCAGAAAGGAAAGTTGACATTCACAAGGGATCAAGTTGTGGCAGGCAAAGGGACTCCCATCCTCAGCTCTGTTACAGACGTGCAGTATGGCCTTGAGTAAATCAATCCCCTTTCGCTGTGCCTCAGTTTCTCTATCTGTAAATGGGGCTGATGTAGGGAGCAGTGAATCTTAATTCATGTTTAAGTGTGTTGAGATCCTTGTCCAAAAGTGCTATAGGAAAGTGAGGATGGGAGCAGAAGACTCATTCAGGAGGCACAGGTGCTTGTCCTGAGGGGGCTTTATACAGAAGGCACATCTGTGTGTGTGTGTGTGAGAGAGAGTAGGAGCAGCTGCCTGTTTGACCTTGTCTGTGTTTGGAGGGGGGGAGGGGCTGGCTTTCACTGTGATAGTGTCAGGCTGCATCATTCCTTGCTCAATCTCATCTAGGTACCACTCTGCGGAAGATGGTGCGAGATGCCACTGCCGAGGTAGTGGAAGGAATGATCCAGCTCACAGACGTGATTCTCCGTACTCCACTGCAGAGGTAATACTGATCCAGCAATGCCCCCATTAAATACTGCTAGGTTAAGTAGATGGGGAAAGAAAATGAAAGCCCCATGCATACCCTCTCAATCCAAAACAGTAACCAACTGAGCGTGCCCCCCTGCACAGAGGGTTGAATGTAGCTCTGTATGTGACAGGGAGGGGGGGCCTGGGAGAGGTAGGACTCTTGTGAAGGAGGTGGGGGGAATATTTGTGTTGCTGGGCAACTCATGCAATTTGGAGTAGGTTGTCCTCAGCACAGATTCTTGGCCTGATTCTCGGAGCGCCATATTTCCTGTCTCTCGCTAAGTACAGGGTATCCCCTTGTCAATGTTTATAGGTCCCAGCACCCTGAGGGACTCTCTTCTTTTTCAGTTTGTCTCAGGAGCAGCTTATATCAACTGGTAGTGTATGGGAGGCATGTGAACAGATTTCCCATCTGCCACAAGGTGAGTGACATGGATCCAAGGAGTGGGCTTCAGAAATCGACAGTCCCTGAACCTACTAAAGGGGAACACTGCAGCTGTTATCTTGGAGCCTAGATCCTGCAGCAGAAATGATGCCATTCCTAGACCCCATTACATGCTCAGGAGCCAGGTGGGGTCACCTGCATTGTGACCCTGCAGTTCTGTGGAGGTTACTGATCCAGTGACCCAGAGGAGTGTGGTGGATGCTGGGGAGCTGGTAAGATCCGTACAGTCCTCTTTCATCCTTCTCTCTTTGACTTTTGTGTGCAGATAACCAGGCAGCAGTCCTGTCAGCCATGGCCGCCTATCTGGGTGTGGTCAGGGATGCGGTGGAGGAAATGGAGCAGGTGAGGAAGTCCCTTTATTTTTGCTGGGGACAGAGCCCACTGTTGGGGGGGTTTCCTGCAGTGATGCTGTAGTGAAACCGAGACGTGGTTTTCTGTTGTGATGAACTGGGAATTCTGAAATATTTTTTATGACTGATATGCATGGCAATGACTGACTTGATTATTGATTTGTTACCCAGTGTGACAAAGGGTTAAAATGCTCCTGAAGCAAAGCAGATGTGTGTATCACCTAACTGTCTGGAGTGGTATGATTGGGTCTAAAGACTGGCTGAAACAGACCCATATCAATGGAGGGTCTGGAAGGACAATGGGAATCCCCAGGGCTGAATAATTGACACCTATCCATTGGAAACTCCACCAGGGGAACATATAAACTCAGCATGGTTTGCAGGAGGAAGACAAGTGACAAGAAACTAGGATAAGAGGTGGCTTGAGAGGGACACAAAGAGAGAGAAAAAGGAAACCAAGATGGTTCCTAGAGAGGGCTTTGTCCAGTGTGGACTGTGTCTTCACTTTTGCTTCTCTATGTAACCTAAGGACTTCCTGATGCTGTGTTTCAATTGACTAAAAGCTGTACTCTGTTTTGAAAAGGCTGCCTGGTGTCACTGCAAATACTTGCGTAGTGCATGGATCTCTGAAGACGGTAAAAAGTCTTTGGACGGGAGTCTGTTGCAGTAAACTTCCTGGGCAGAGCTCACGTTGTGAAACTGGAATGTTGGAGCCCAGAGGCTCAGTCTCAGGAGTGTTGAGGCTGTGTGGCCTATCCCTGTGGACAGGAAGACCCCCCTGAGGGTCTGGCATGCTGAAGGGATACCTTCAAGGGACTATTTAAAAGCTGGGGTGTAGCACATATCCTGTAAATCCATGACATTTATCCAGGTTGTCATGGCTCCTATATCTTGATTTTGACACAAACCAGAGTCATGCAAACCAATGTTCACACCTCAGCCTAATTCCACTACTTAATATGTGGCTTTTGTGAAGCCAGTGCCTTGTTTTGTCTTTGCATGGCTTAGTTTGCTGGTGTAGGGTTGGAGCAGGGACTACCTGCTAGGCTGTTGCTGATCAGTGGCCAGGTGTGTCTGAGGAGTTGATTTTTTTTTTTTTAAGCCAATTCCCGAAGGAGAAAAGGTCTCAGGTGTTTGACTCCAGTCCTGAAGACATTGCAGGGAAACCCTGCAAACTACTTAAGCAGACTCTATGTAGTACTCACCCCTTCCCTCAGGGGCACTATGGGGACAGATGGTGGGCTCTTGCTTTCCAATATATGTGTCCTCAGGCTCAGGGGGAAGATCGGGACCCCTACAGTGACATCATGGAGGATGAGGAGTTGGGCTCTCGGGGCAATAGGGACACCTACTGGTCTGAGGCTGACCGGAAGCTACTTGGTCCCTGCATGGGGCTGATGAAGGCCTCCAAAGCCTGCCTGAAGAAGCTCTTGGGTGCAGTGAAGGTTCACGGCAAAGCAGACACCCCAGAACAGGTGGCTCAGCTAGATGATCTTGCAGACATCACCAATGAGATCAGCCCGAGGTGAGTCAGTCTCTTTCCCCTCTCAGTGCTATCTGTGCTAGGGGAGTCCTTGTTGGCCGGCTAGGTCAGGGAACTGCATTATGCAAGAGTTTCCTTCTGCACTCATGAGGGCAGTGGGGCCCTGGAATAGTCTGTAGGAGAGTTGCTCTGACTGGGCCAGGGATAGTTGTGATGGGGGATGGGTGGTCACTGAGGATTGGGACAGAAATGAGACAGTATTTGCTAGATACAGCTGATGTTGGTTTCCTGCTGAGCTGTGCAGAGCCTGACTCACTCCCACAGTTAATGTGTTTGGTGGCAGGGATAGCCTTTGCCCATCCACTGGCTGGGCTGACTGCTAGGCCCCCTTTCTCATACTGAAACTTCTGTCTTCTGCCCTAGCGTTGATGAGCTGGCACTGAGTATGTATCCACCCATGAACCAGCTGGCTGTGCGACTCAATGTAAGTACCTACCACTCCCCAGCTCACGAGCAAAGGGCATCAGCCTGGCTCCTGCAGGGAACAGAGGAAATAAAAGTGGGAGCTAGTGTCTCTGAGGGCAGTTGGTAATCGTCCCCTGGCCCAGTGGCAAGTTGTTGGGTATGAAGACTGCCTGTTTTCTGTTGGGTCACACCCACTTGGCTTCCTGAGTAAGCTTGTCCGTGCTGTTCTCTTCCTTCTTTCACAGAGTCTTGAGCCCACCAGGAAGGAGAGAGTAAATGGAGAGGGTACATAGTCTGTGCTGACATTGCCATCCTGTCATAGCTGTGTGACCCATAGAGGTGTCTGGATGCCACTGCTCAAGGGAGCAGAGACCCAAAGCTGCCTCTGTTGTGGGGAGTAGCTCCTCCTCCATGGCAACACTAGGCTGGGGGTAGTTCCCCACAACACCTTTAGGTGGTCACTTCCCATGCTGGGTATAGAGGTGTCTCTTCCTACTCCCCGGCTATGCTAGGATGCCTCCTATGATAGAGGATTCCTGCATGTGTCCTCGACTCCCCACAGCAGTGCTGGGACCGTGCTTGCCACATTGGCTCAATTGTTTTCCCTTTTGCTTCCTTTTAGGCTGCCAAACTGGCCTCTGTATTAAAGAAAGTCCTAGAAATTACAAAGTGAGTATGGCATGTGGCCCTTCCTGAGCTCAGAGTGTTTCTGGAGGGGGAGGGGGCGAGAGGGAGTTCTAGTTGCCCTCTTTCTGCATGTTGTTAGAGAAATTGTGCCAGAGGTGACTCAGCCTGGGCTCCTCAGAAGGCTTGTGGAGAGCAAATGTGTACCTTTGGGAATTACCCTGATTGCACCAAAGGGAGCAATGGCTGTGGGGAGAGATGATATGGGGGTTTCTTAGAGTCGAAGACCAGAAGGGGCCATTGTGATAATCTAGTCTGACGTCCCGTGTAACACTGGCCAGAGATCTGCCCCACAATAATTCCTTTTGAACTAGACCACATCCTTAAAACAAAAATCGACAGCGATGGAAAATCCACCACAACCCTGGATAAATTGTTCCAATGGTTAATTATCCCCACTGTTAACAATTTACACCATATTTCCACTCTGAATTTGTCTAGCTTCAACATCCAACCATTGGCTCATGTTATACCTTTACTAGACTGAAGAGCCCATTATTAAATATTTGCTCCTCATGTAGGTACTGATCAAGTCACCCTTTTACCTTCTTTTCGGTAAGCTAAACAGACCCAAGGAGCTCAGTCAGTACGAGGCATGTTTTCTAATCCTTTAATCATTCTCTTGGCTTTTCTCTGAACCTTGTCCAATTTATCAACATCCTTCTTGAATTGTGGATACAAAGTGTGGCAGAGACCCCTCCCTGTAGGGGGTGGGGATGCAGGGCACTGGATGGGCAGGCGGGTACAGAGATTGCTGGAAATTAGTGGACACGGTAAGGGTAGAGATTACAGATTGTCTCCCCCTACTCTCTCCCGCCGCCACACACACAGAGACCAGCATGCAGCAAAGAATCATAGAACTGGAAGGGACCTCGAGAGGTCATCTAGTCCAGTCCCTGCACTCTCATGGCAGGACTAAGTATTGTCTAGACCATCCCTGGTGGTGTTTGTCTAACCTGCTCTTAAAAATCTCCAATGATGGAGATTCCACAACCTCCCTAGTCAATTTATTCTAGTGCTTAACCACCCTGATACTTAGGAAGTTTTTCCTAATGTCCAACCTAAACCTGCCAGAATGGTGAGGCAAAGGGTGGGTGTGTGTGTAGGGTGTTGTCGAGAGACCACTCCCTGCTGGGCATAGGCAGACGGTACAGATAACTCCCTCCCTGACAAGGGCACTCTGAGTCTGCAGAGACTTTTCCTTTATAACCCTGTGGTAGTCTAGCTCTTCGTGACATGGTCCTGTGGTACCTGGCACTCTGTAGTCTGGAGATGCCTAGATATACAGTACCTCAAAGTCATTCTAATGCCTCTCCTTTTTCTGCAGGTCAAGCCATGTGTGTCCCCCATCAGAGGAAGGCTGGGTTCAGTTTCTCACTGGTGCGGTAGATCACAACATGGACAAAATTAAGGACTTCACACAGAGTGAACTTTAGTGCTTCTGCGGCCGGGGTCTCTAACAGCTGCCTTTCTGGTGCATCTGGTTGTTCCCTGAACACAAGGAGAGCAATGGGGTTGGCACTTGAAGGAAGAGCTTTTCCAACCTGGAAGAACTTTGCAAATGCAAAGTGTGACTTGCTGGTCTTCTCTGGCAATTGCCAACACTGCCACCCTTGATTTGTTTCCTGGGACAATGAGAAGCTGCATCTTGATGTTGTGAATGTGTCTTGCCCCCTTGGACTTGGCTCTAGGGCTGCCCTACAGGGCAGAAAGGGCAATAAAATGTCACTAGGTTCACATGGTGGCTTTGTTCTAAGGGTTTTTCTACCTTCATGAGGCTGGACTGGACCCGTGAAGGGTACATTTTCTCCTGCCAGCCTGAGAATGTATGGAGTGATGCCCTCACTTCCCTCTGAATTATGGGAAAGGAATAGAGGAATTTGCTCCCTTCCAGTGAGGATACAGTGGGAACTGTTATCTGCTAGTTCAACAACTCCCTGGCCCTGTGGGCACTAGAGTGCGGTTCTAGGGAGATGCAGCATCTTCCCCTTAAAATCCCAGGCTGATGCTCTTTTTTTCTCCTTGATTCTTCTTGATAGCTGAGGCACCCTGATGCCATGGGGATGGGCATAGTATAAAGGTACAGTGAGAAATCAGTGCCTAGCTGGGATGGTTTTGCCTGGACTCAGGGGATGTTGGGCTAGATGGGCATTAGGCTGAGAACGTAATAAGACAACATTTAACATGGCTTAAATGTGCCTTGAATTAGAGTGAATGTTGCTGACTCCTGTGTAGCTCCACCATCCAGCATAAACTCCCGTCCCTGGAGAGAACCCACGTTGGGGCTGGGGCTCAGGATAGTAGCACCTGCTATACGCTGGGATCTAGCAGCCACAGTGTTGATGCTTCTGTAGCCCTCCATATTCTGGCTACAGTCAAGATGCACGGTGAGTCTTCTGGGCCCTGTCTGGGTGGGGTGAAAGGGGATGGGTAAACGCAGCATGCTGCCAGGCTGTACAGAGCCCAATCTGCTATGCAGGAGGAGATAGTCTAGGCAGTGCAGTTATTTGCTTTGTTCATAGTTCTCGGGGGCTGGAGATGCATTTGACAGGCACCAATATGGAGTAAGAAGAAAGGGCCAGAGTTCTGATACCAGAGCATTGGGGAAGGACTGGGGGCTGTAAGGGAGGGGAAGCTAAGGCAAAGGGAGTGAAAACTCTCAAAGGATGTACCTGTCCCCCGCTCCTTGCGATCCCCCATTCATGTTTGGGGATTATCTGCAAAGCCAGCGATAGACATTTAGTAAAAACCTTCTGGAAAAAGGGCAAGAGGAGGATGGCTGCACCTCATGGTCTAGGAGGGCCCTATGGTTTTCTGAACTGCCTGGGGCTGTGTGAAGACCTCTTCCAAGACCAAATCAGCCCAATAAAGACATGGACACTTATAAAAAGCTTAGCCATGTTTTGCTTTCTTCCTCTGTATCCCTCTCCTTGGGTTGAACTCGGGATGAAACTGGTTACAGGGGCCCCTGAAGAGCTGGAAAATCTGGCAGCTGGGCCAAGGGAACTTCCATCAGCAGAGCTAAGACCACTGTGTCTCGTACAGGTGGGTATGTACTTACACTACACCCCAAGGAATGTAGCACTGTGCCAGACAAATTAATACCCAGCCGTGGGGGAGAGAGCCTCTTGCACGTCTAGGGATGGGAGCTTTCTGCAAACCAAGGAAGTAGGCTTGTGTCTTACACCAGCAGAGAAGCAGGGGGGATTTGCTATGCTGCTGGGCATTGCTAACACCCACACAGCTGCCTCTGAGAGATGGCTTGAAATGTCCCAGTCAGCATTACTTACAAGCCTTGGCTGAACAAATAGTTTAACTCAGTTGTCCAAGCAGCTGGAACTTGCTCCCTGTCCCATGCTGAAAAACAGCTCCTTCCAATTCCTCAGGGAGAACATGCACAGCTTAATGCAGTAAACATCTCCATGTTTTGTTGACGTGTATCTGTTTCATCTCCATGCCCCCAGTGATGCTTTAGTGTTACCCTTATGTGGTTCCTCTTCGACTGCTCTGTCAGTGGGGCTGAGGCTTTTCCCAAATGCCATGTACTCAGTTTGTCTTTCTGTATTAAACATTTGTTGCAATTTTTCTTCCTTGGCTTGTCTCTTTCCTGTGATATTAGTGGAATCCAAGACATCAATTCTTAGTAAGAAAAAAACAGGTGATGGACTTTCAGGTATAGTGGTTTCTGCCTGGTCTTCCCTGCCCCGCTTTGCCAGTAATGCCAGCCTAGTAGCCTGTTCACCCTTGGGGGCTATAAAGCAATAATAAATGCAGCCTGTCTTCAGTGCATTAGTCTCTAGCTCTGGGTTGTGCCTATTGCAGAATAAGTTGCTCTGCTCAGGGAGAGTCACTTTGCCCTTAGCCATTCCTCCTGTCTCTATAAATGAGCCCTGTCTGTGACTGCCATCACACACTCCACCAGGGGCTCAGCCAGGGGGCTAGGAAGCTGGTCTGTGCTATGGTTGGCTGGTAATGCACTGCACTCTTTGGGAGCGGCGAAGAGAAGTAAATGATCCGGAGTTAAGAAAGAATAAGTGAGACGCTTCTAGGGGTGGAGGAGGTTAGAACAGGCTGTCTGGAAGCCACTGGTGGTTGTCCGTCTTCTTAGGTGAGACTCTTGATCTCTCACTTCTACCAATCTGCATCCCTTGTTTGTGAGCTCCTATAGTATTCCCTTGTGCTCCAGACTGGAGTGCAGGGTTTATGATGTGCTTTAGTGATCTCTGAAGTCCATTGATTCTAAGGTTTGTGGTTATCCGGTCCAAAAAGTGAGCTGGGGCAGTTTGGGGACGGCGGGGCAGGAGGGGTTGTACATGGCAATGCAGCCTAGCCGGCTCTCTCCCAACCCACATCCAAAGGTCCCTTAGTTTAGTTCCATGGTGGAAAAGATCACCTCTGAGCCACTCAGACCAACAAACTGGTTCTGCTTGTGGCCATGGAGGTCATTGTGTTCTTGTTGCTGCAGTAACAAAGGACTGACCCAATCCTTTTACCTCAGTAGTGAGCTGGGCTTTGCAAATGCTGATCTCCTCCTGTCCAAAGTACGTACTGGGGGAGGCTTCATCCTTCAGCATGCTGTCCGCCTCAGCAGATGACTTTCTCCCAGTGCCCTCTTGGACTGTGCATCAGGCACCCAGGCTGGAACAAATGATGATGATTTGTGTCTAGTCTCAGCCTGGGTGATTCTGCTGGGATTGTAGTGCTCAAGACTACCCAGGCCCCATCATTTTAATAGCTACATGGTCCCAGCTAGGCTTTTAATTTGCACCCCAGTAATATGAATAGGGTCCCCATGTGGACCCCCACTAACAGTAAATCAAGTTGGTGACACTTGATTATTCGGTCAACTCTTCACACATTTGGGAACTAAACATACTTCTCTCCAAGTGAAGGGTAGGGTTTGGAAGTGGTTTTCTGTCCCTGGAGCGTCTGTGCCTGTTGGGTCAGACTGCATTGTGGTTGCATGTGGTACAGTCCTTAACTTGGTTATCTTTGAGAAGGAAATGAAGCTTCTCCTTCCAGAGCTGGGTAATGGCCATGCAACTGTACTGCAGGGAAAGGGACCTCAGCAGCAGATGCACAGCCTTCTTACCAATGGTCCTGTTAGACACTTTCACAGAGAGTTGGACATCATGTCCCAGCAGCAGGGAACTCTGGCATTGGATGCAGGCAAAGAGCAGAGGTGCTGGTTCTTCAAGGGCAGGAGGAACAGTGCAAGGAGCAGTCTTGCTGGTGCTGTCAGTCCCAAGTTCTCTCATCTTTCTGCAGGCTCTCTCAAGCACCTCTCTTTCCTGAGAACCTGCTACACAAGATGAACTCAGGGCATGTCTTCACTACCCGCCGATCCGGCGGGTAGCAATCGGTCTATCGGGGATCAACTTACCGCGTCTAGTGAAGACGCGGTAAAATCGATCCCTGATCGCTCTGCCGTCGACTCCGGAAATCCACCTCGGCAAGAGGCGGCAGCGGAGTTGGCGGCAGCGCGGCAGCGGTCGACTTTCCCGCGTCCTCACCGCCAGGTAAGCCGACCTAAAATACGCAACTTCAGCTACCGTATTCACGTAGCTGAAGTTGCGTATCTTAGGTCGGACCCCCGCTGTAGTGTAGACCCAGCCACAGTCTCTTACTGTCCTTTCCTCTTTACTAGTATAATCAGGTGGATGGAGCAGGACACAGACAGTGGAATTATTCCAGCAGAGCTTGACTGTTGTGTGTCTTGGTTCTCTCGTATTATTAGAAAGCAGCCTGTGAAGGCCTCAATTCAACAATCATATGTGATGAATTGGACAGGAAGGGTAGGAAAGATGTGAGTGCATCTCACTTAATTACCAGGATCAGGGCCGGCTCCAGGTTTTTTACTGCCCCAAGCCAAAAAAAAAAAAAAAAAAAAGCTGGAGTGCCACCCTTAAAATGCCGACCCCAAAGGGCCAAAATGCTGCCCCTTGAAAAGTGCCACCCCAAGCACATGCTTGGAACGCTGGTGCCTAGAGCCAGTCCTGACCAGGATGTAGGTGTCTGAGGTGACCGGATATGGTATCTCTTCCAGTTGTTCCTATTAACAGAGCCTTCAAGGGCCTGTCTCGCTGTGCCCTAGCCTAAGTCTCAGACCTAAACTCTTATTGTGTCCCCCAGGCACCGCTCTATCACCAAAGCTGGTCTCAGTTCACTTCCTCATTCCATGCAGCTCTCTCTGCATGGATTGACCTCGCAGTGCGCTAGCACTTCACTTCTTCCATGGGTCGTGCAGGTGCCTTCCTAGGGCAGCGGCAGTTTGTATTGTGTACAGAACAGTGTGTGCTCTCAGAGCTTAACAAATAATAAACATAGACCACCGCAGAGGTCTTATTTTGCTCATCTTGACCCGTGTCTAATGCCCTGTTCTCTGTCCTGCAGGAGTCGCTCCTGCTCTGTATGTCTTCACCTCCTCTTGGGCTCC